GGACGCCCACTCTGCATCCGCGTGAAAGAACACTTGGACGGGCTAATCAAATGTAAGACCTCTACACCCTCAGTAAAGCATCGCTTAGTACGCCATGATAACGATGTTATACAAATTGGAGTGAAGATCTTGCCGTATGAACCCGAAATCCTAGCGCGCAAGACGTTAGAAGTGTTTTGGATCACCGCCAGAAGTACAAAAATGAACCGGAAAGAAGAGTGCATTGATATCACCAACGAGTTAGCGCCTTATCAATCCCTCTGTGGATATGAGGTCAGGTCATGAAGGCACATATAAAAAGAGCTGAGGTACAGTACTGGTATAGGTGTTCTGTCCATCTCCGAATTATATCCTAAGTCTTGTTGTTGACGTCTGAGAGGACGGATTACTTATGACTTCGGCTTTCCAGGCTCAACGAAGGCGAAACCGCCGAAACGTTAACGTCAGCCAATAAAGATCATTAACAATCTTGGCCAACTGCTCAAACAATCTAGCTGAAGTGTTGCAAATGCCAAGTTTCAACAACAGCCGAGCATGGACAATCTTGAAAATAGTTTGCCTACCCAATTATCTACACCAGGGTGTACAACCAAACTTGAATGTATAACAATTGTTAATGTATAAAAGTGGGAGACAATTGCGATGGAGATGAAGTTAAAGAACTAGGAAAAAGAGAACGGCAGCAGGTTTTACGGCTACTTGAACGAAATACTTACCGCTAAATTGCATTGAAAAAGAACAGATTTGGATGTACGGAATGTGTAAGAAACTGGTGATAAGTCTTTCAATTGAAATTTTTTGTTCATGATGAAGTAGCGATACAAGTTGTGATATTGTAAATGCTCCAACAAAACTGACTCGCTCCAAGACTCAATAGGAGAAAATTGTAAAAGTGACTATTTTCTTCCTAAATAAACACCGTTGGAATAGACATTGTCCTGAATGTATGACATCAATTGTAATAAGTTTAAAAATCAATAATCAATCTGAAATTTTAGACATACGCTATTGTTTTTGAATGTTGTATTTATAGAGTGATGTTTATTTCTCCCCCTTTAGTGATAGTGGTGACTACAAATAGTTGATAAGCATTGATTGTCTGAAGCGCTGTTAGACAGAATATGGCTCAAAATTCGACAGTTTCTGATATAAGTATGAATCCTAATCAGTCTATCAGCGCATCAACATGCTATTGACAAGGGTGTTCGATAAGATAGGTGACCTCGAACAGGTTCTTTTAGTCCGATTATCGTACTTCGCATATGACAGTCTTCCCAAATAGAATTTCAATTTCAGTATGAGCTATGAACCCACTTTTTCCACTATTTTTGACCATAAGGTTCATTTTTGCAAAGAGCCATTCAATCAGAGAATAGGAGTCAATGCCGTATCTTGATCATGCTGGTGCAGCTCTTCCTTCGGAACAGCAGCTTAGAGAAGTATACGAGTTAGCCCTTTCTATACCTATGGCTAATCCCCATTCACATCATTCAACGGCTGCTGCTACACATCTAATGGTGGAAAATGCCCGACTTCGGTAGGTTTGCATTCAAACGATATCATGTAATTTGTTAGTACACAGAAATAATGAAATAGCGGAAAAGAATAACGAAAAGTTGCCTACATGCCATCTTTGGGAATTCCGTCTCATAATCTTTCAAGCAACCACTCTCATTTTATGGTTTTGGAACATTTCGACGTCACGCCAGAAGAATACGCTGTAGTTTTCACTGCGAATGCCACTCATGCACTTCAGATGGTGGCAGAGTCTTTCATTTTTGAAAGAAAAACTTCCTCATCTGTGCAGATCGGATCAATCGACAATGGAACAGGTAACAGGTCATATACAAGATAGCGGAAAATTCTCATGATATCCCGTATATTTAATGCCTTAT